CATCATATAAAACAGCTCCTAAAGAATCCCCTCGGAGGATAGCTTTATAAGAGGCTTAAGAAATTGCAGAATAAAGATTAGTCTTTCATATTAGTGCAGATGTACTACGAATAAGTAATTTGAAAAATTCCTTCACTGAAATGTTGTAAAAACAAAGTCATATTGCTTTTTTGATATATTTTTTGAAAAGAGGAAGATGATGATACTCTATAAAATATGTTTACATAACTATCCTTATCTGTCTAAACATATTAGTTTAATAGCGAGCTGTAATTCGTTTTTATTAATAGTGTACTTTTTTAGATCGTTGGAAGTTTTTTGCTGAGTACGTAGGACATGATTCTTCAAATTGCTTTTGCTTACTTACAGAATCATTTTCGTTTGAGTAATACTGTTGTAAGGTTTGACCAATAGTGCTGTTCACTGAAGTGGTGTCTTCTGGTTTTGCCCATGTCGGTTTTAACGGGTCAATGTATACAAACTCGTTACCCATATGTTCTGTATCTATAAGTTTTGGTAATTTATAACCAACGAACCTGAAGAACAGATTGATTTTTTATCTTTTTATTCAGCTAGCTTTAATTCTTGTAAGGTAGACAAAATCTAAATTTTGTTTTACGATATCGTTTGAATTAAGAAACAGGATTTATACACAGGAGGAAAAGAACAACGAATTAAACTGCTGATATGCTTTGGTTCAAATTGTTGTCATTTGAGAAGACTGGAAACGGTAAAGAAAGCGATTAGATTAAAAATTTCTTTTTTACCAGTCCACCGGTTCACCGTCAGCATTTCGACAGCTGATCTCCGCCAATGCCTGTTGTAGGAACGTCAAGAAGACCAGCAATTTGATTATTACCATCTGAAATTTGTTTCAAGATTTTTATGTAATAGGTGCATTAGTACGAGTTGATGAGGCTCCAAAAATTGAAGAAACTTTTTTAAAAAATTCTTGAAAATTTAGATTTATTTTTTCTTCTTTTGAAATACATTCATCTGAAAATTTTTAGAACCAAAGCGTTGTAATTATTGGAATTGCTAAGGCACCAGAAAACTTGAACAGTTTACAGGTCAAAATCAATGTGTTGCGGTTTTCGGCTTGACGTGAAGCTTTATAAAGTGTGAAATCCTGTCTGTCCGCATGCAAAAATACTCACGGCTGAATAAATATCCGACTATTTTAGCCTTTCTTTTTTTTATTCTTCAAACTTTGATTTTCTTTGTTAGTTCTGTTTTTTTAACCTTTCATTTCCGAAACTAAAGCAGTATATAGAGCAGCAACAAAAGAACAAAAAAATATGTAGAGGGAATCGTTGGTTACAGTAGTGTAAAGAGTTGAAAAAATTGGGTTTCAGTTGGTTATTCAACTTTTTGTTTCTGTTTAACGAATTATTTGATATGCTGTGTAAATAAGTACTGAACTTCCTGATCTAGTTTTTAGACTGATTGCAAAAGTGTTAAGCTGTTGTCCAGTGTTTCCATATCCGCCTAGCAATGTATTCACTAAAAAAAAGCACCAAAAAAGATACCTGTATTTTTTTTCTTTAGCAGTTTGGTTCAATTTTAGTCATCTCCAGGTGATTTTTGCTGAATTAGATCAATCTAAACATTTTTTAACTTCTGTAATCGTCAGCCCAAATTTATTTGGTAACCGACAGAGACTGATCTGTTTTAATTTTGAATTGAAAGAAGGAGTACTGCGAAATGTTGCGTCTTCTTTTCCGTATTTGTAGTTGATTCTAGACCATTACGCTCTTATAAATCAAATGTATAAAGCCTGTGCTCTGGGTCGACACTGTTTGTTGATAGATTAGCAACTAGGAAAATTTTCACCCGATGAGTTACAGCTAATTCTCCTTATGGTTGATAAAAATATGAACTGCTGCATTTTGTGTCAGTTTTTCACCGTTAATACTTTTTTCTGTGTTGAAAGAATAAGATAAATTTTTGAAGTAAAGTCAAATTTTTTTTTGTTAGCAGCATTAGGAAATGATGGTTTTGAGGGGGGTGGAAAGAAAAGTGAAAGTGTTCTTTAATGTGACGAAAGCCAAAAATCTTTTTGTTTTGGGGTACGCTGCTGTTTTTTTTTTTGTTTATTTTTTTTCTTTTTTCTTCTTTTTTTGCAAACGTTTAGTGTTACTCTATCTGCAAAAAAAGAATAAAGCTTTGACTTTCATAGTTTTGCTTCTAAAAGGTATGTTTGATTGTTTTCAGTGCAGCATAAAAAATAAACAGCAATAAAAAAAAAATCAAAAAAAGCGACGGTTTATTCGTCTCACTTAAGCAGCTCACAGATAAAATGTCCAAGAACTAACGCTTTAAAAGCCACTTTAGTGTCCTTTGGTTGTATAGTGTTTACTGCTCGTTGGAGATTTATGTACAGATAAAGTTAGAAAAATTAAAAAAATCTCCTTTTTTTGAAGCCAACTTTTTTTGACTAGCGAAGGAGAAGCAGCAGCAGACGAAACGTCGAAGGTGGAAGAAATCGATTGACTTTGTTTTGTGGAATGTTCTTTCAAAATTCAATCACGTTCTGAATACTTGTAACGTAGGTAAAGTAATGGTTGTTTAAGCTTTGACTGTCAGTC